GTCCACTGTACCTGCTGCTTTCCAAGTTTTTCACGGAGGGGAAACAGGAAGCAGTAGTAAAGATGGAGAAACGCAGAAGGTTCGAGAAACCGTCTCCAATATTCGCTGCGTTTGGCCCAGATTTATGGCCTGATGCCTTGCTAGCTGGCTTCTTGGGGAGGCCCCCAACCTCTGCTCTGCTCAGCTCGGAAGGGTCTCTCCGCTACACCAGACGGCAGGTGTCGTCAGAATGAACTAGCACCCACTGCAGTTTGTGGAGAGGCCTGGGGGAGGGCAGGCAGCGAACACACAAGCCCAGGCCTGCGTCCAGGGGCCGGGCAGGCGCCGGTCACACCGGTCTGTGCGCGACCAGTGGCCTCCTAACTTACTAGCTTTGTGCACCCGGAGAAATGGATCACCTGCTTGAGCATCGCCTGCCTCGCTATAAACTAAAGAGTGGCGGGAGGAGAGACCGCGAGGCGGTAGAGTAGCACGTGCCCAGCGCAGTTCCGCGGGGTGTCCGGCAGGCGGCACGTGTCTATTGCCTGCCCGCTACCACCACAGCCTCAGTTAGCCGACATAAGCGCGCGCGACTCAGAGCGGATGTTTCTGGTTTCGTAGAGTAGAAAGCTGAGGCTCGGAGCTCTCCCTTTCACCCAGACTCCTGAGTTTCCAGCAAAGACTTAAATCCTGGAGAGAGTCAGACAACAGACTCTCTCCCCTCCCCCACCCCTGGGCTGTCCCCTGCAGGCAGGAATCCCCACGAGGAGATTCCCCGACTGTATTATCTGAGTCTACAGTCAGAAGAGACCCTGCACTGCCCTCCCTGGTGGTTCAGTGGGTGGTAAAACGCAGGACTGTGAAACTATCCCCAGCCACAGCAGCGTGAGTTCGATCCCCGGCCAGGGAGTGACCCACAGGGTGCAGCAGACCTCTCGTGGCCACCCACTGCTCCCCTCAGCAGTGTTTCGGTCACCCTGCCTGTTGTGCTCCCTGCTGTCTCCGGTGACTTCTCTCACCCCGCACATCTCTGGCCTGCACCCCAAATCTTGTATGCATAAATAATCTTTAAAGAAAGAAGCCCCGCCTCTCCCCCAAGGCGTCCACAGAGCCCGCTTTCTTAGCCGCATCTCCCAGCGCCTTCCCAACCGCCTCTGCTCCTGAATTTCCAGCGGGCTCACCTGCTTATGAAAAAGGAGCTCGTTCATCCGCGCCTCTGTTATCTTCTTGACTTGCTGTGTGGCTTTCCTTAAGACCAGAGTCTGAGTTGGATTGTCTGTGGAGGCAACAGGAGCGACAAGGATCACAGCTGCGGCCTGCTGAGAACAGGAGCAGCAGGCGGTCGACCTCGGCCACCCGCTGGCATGGAAATACCTGGCTGGTGGCAGATGACCAGGAGATGCTGGCGAGGGGCCGCAGGTAAGTTCAGACAATCCTGCTTGCGTGTTAGCCCGACATACACCTTAGACCTGTATGTGTCCACCCACTTATCTATCTGTCCACCCTTCTCTCCACCCAATTACAAACATTTACTGAGCGTGAACTTCTGGACACAGGTCGGGGGAGGGGGGAGTAGATTATCGTCAAGAACTAACAGATGAGTGAGAAAAAAAAATGTGAATAATAACTGTAGCCCTAACTCAGGTGCCGTGATAGACTCCTCCACGGGAGCCAGCATGGGCGAACCAACCCGAGCGCTACGGCTCTTCAGCTAGTGGCAGTTCTTGTACCTCTGGAGGCACCCTGGGAGCCGTCTTCTAGCGTCTTCTTGGTGCAGCTGACACTCTCATTGGTTGAATTGACACTGGATGTCTCCAGGAGAGAATAAAGAACATATTGGGTAAAACTGAGGATGGGAGGAGTCCACACAGCAGACACCCACTTCCCAGCTGTCTCTCACTGTGCTGCCGAGGGAAACACAAGGCGTGGCCTGGGCCCCCCACTGGGGGCGCGTGGTGGGAAGGCGACAGGTAGAAAACGCACAGCTGGGACTGAGGACAAATGGGGTTCCAGCCCCAGCCCTGACCTTGGGCAAGTCACCCGACCCACAGGGTCTCGTGAGCACTAAGTCAGCTGGCACGTGCCTCCTGCTGGAGATTGCCCCACTGCTGACGCAAGCACACAGCACTCGCTGAGCAGCCGCTAATGTGCCCGGGCCTGGGCAGACCCTAAAATCTAGTCCTTGCCCGTGTAGCAGGGAGACAACAGTACATAGATAATGACACTCAAATGTGTAAAAATCACATATTTATCAGAGAGATTGTATAAATTGGGATCAGGTTTGTATAGGAGTGACAGAGTCAAAATAATAGTAGTTCAAACTAGGTAGAAAATTTTCGCCCACATAACAGTCTAAAAGATGCAAGTTAGGGTTTAAATGGCGTTTTGCTGAGTCCCTTTAGGGACCTGGACTTCTTCTACCTCAAGGCTGCACCTTCCCCAAGCTAGAGTACTTGTTCTCAGGGTACAAGATGGCAGCTAGAGCTCCAGCCATTACATTCACATTCCAGGCAGCAGAATGGAAAAAAGACAAAGAGACAAAGTCTCCATGAACTGTTTTGGTTATTTTTTAAGATTTATTTATTTATGCATACAGAACTGGGGTACAGGCCAGAGGTTCAGGGGGTGAGAGGACTCACCGGAGACACAGTGGGGAGCAGAACAGGCAGATTGATGAAGTACACTGCCGAGGGGAGCAGCGGGGAGACGTGAATTTCTGCACCATGTGGGTCAGCTCCCTGGCCAGGGTGTGGAACTCGACTGAAACGGCTGCAGCCAGCTTCGTGGAGCTGTGCTGTAACCCACTGCACCCCAGGGAGGGCCCCACCTGAACTGCTTTTCTAAAGAGGTTCCTGGAAACAGCCGCATGCATATCCACTTACATTAAGGGGGTCCTTGTCACACTGCAACTTACACATGTAGGGGAGGCTAGTCATGTCGTGTGTATGCTGGTCATGTATGTGCCCAGAAAAAAGCCAGAGGCTGAATTTCTAAAGAGGAAGAGAACAGGTATCGGGGAAACTAGCAGTCGCCGCCGGCGGTGCGAGCAGCGTATCCGAGGAAGCCACAGGAGGAGCGTTTGATTCTGTCTGGGGAGAGTTGGAGGGCTTCCAAGGAGAGAAGACACTTGCATCCCGTCTTTAAGGACGAGTAGGAGTTTGGCAATGTTAAGCAGATGGCCCAGCAAGCGGCAGACAAGCAAGCCACCAGCCTCAACAATGCCCGCTTTGCTTTCACAGAAATATAGTATTTGAAGGAGGAGAAAGCCCGGAGGACTGTCCGTGCATCGTGGGCTGGGTCCAACAGCTCCTGATGAGTGTTGAGGTGTGGCTGGGACTCGCTGCAAGCACTCCCAGGGCTCCGTGGGGCACCACACTCACCCTGAAGAGGCCTCAGAGAGCTGCAGCGGAGCAGAGTAAGCGCCCAGGGGAGGGGTGCTAGGGGTCAGGGCGCGAGACCTCTGCTGAGCTCAGGGCAGGGTCCCGGGCCGCGGGCACCAGGAGTCAGCAGGGGCCCCGCAAGTGATTCGCCCTTTGAGCTTGTAGCAAAGACTGGAGGTGGGTGGGCTGGCACGGCCATTTCCGAAATGATCTACGTTTACCTTAAACACTAAAATCGAGGCAGCCCTCTGCCCCCCGTGACTATGGAGGTGCCTTTTCCTCCTTTTCTTCATTAACCTGATTCCTTAGAAATTGGGAAAACACACACACACACAACTGAAAATGAAAAGGCCCTCCCTGGGGCACAAGGGCTTGTCTCAGCACTGCGAGGCTGTCACAGCCACTGCAGCCTGAGTTCGATCCCCGCCAGGGAGGGACCCACAGGGTGCAGCAGCCTCTCCTGTCTCCCCGCTGCTCCCCTCAGCAGTGTGCTTCATTGGTCTGCCTGTTCTGCTCCCCACATTTCTCCGGTGAATCTTCTCACCACCACCCCCACACCTCTGGCCTTTACCCCAGTTCTTGTATGCATAAATAAATACATCTTTTAAAAAGAAGAGAAAATGGAAAGACTGTCTGACCCGCAGCCTCACCCAGGGCCGGAGGTCGGCAGGAGCTGAAGACACCCCAGGCTGGGGCTCGGAGCCTGGGGGGTGTGGTAGGGGTGGGGGGCAATGGGCTGGGTAGGCCAGGGCAGGTCCTTCTGCCCCAAGGACAAGAGGAAGGCCTGTGGTTTAGGAGGGGCTTTTTACTTTGGGCTGCCTGCGTGGGGGGGGCAGGGTAGGGCCAGGTGATAACAGAGGGCATAAATAGGTCAGCATCTTGTAGAAATTGACTGTAGGGGCTGGGGGCAGCAGGAGTGGAAGGGAGAGGGGGGGCGCTGGCGGAGAGCGTGCTGGAGCACGGCCAGCAGCTTTGGGCCGTTCCCCCCACCCCCACCCCCATTATTCGTTTCTGAGGTTGCCCTGGAGAGGTTGCCCTGGGGATCTGGCCAGGAGGAAGAGGGGCCTCCCTGAGACTACAGGGTGGGGGGAGCGCAAGCTGTGGGCCCACTGTCGGTGGGAAGCCTGCCTCCCACTCACCTGAGGAAACTGGGCTTTCCCATTCCAGGGCGACTTCTGGGAGGAGATTCTCTTAAAAGAGAAGGCAGAAAGTTCTTTTCCTAGAGAAGAGAAGGAGTAGTTCCTCGTTCTTTTTGCCAGGGTGAGGGTGCAGGTCAGGAGCTTTGTGACAGCTGCAGGGCGGAGGGGCCTCGGCAAGTCAGACTGTGTCTGTCACCTGCTGGGGGACTTTGGGCAAGTGACCTAACCTCTCTGATCCTGTTGTAGGTGGGGAACACGACCCCCCTTGCGGCCGTGAGCCAGTATATGCAGCGAGGAGTACGAGGAGTACGTGTAAGCACTCCGCCCCCTGAAAACAACATACCTTGACTTCAAGAGAAAAACAAAAGCTCAGGGCCCTCCCTGGTGGCAGCGGGTTAAAGCACAGCACTGAGAATCTGAAGCCACTTCCTCATGAGTTCAATTCCCGCCTGCAGCCTGCCCCGGAGGAGACCACATGGCGA